AGAGAGAGAGAGAGAGAGAGAGCTCTACACGTGCTTTGAAAATATTGTTGCTAGTTTATCGCGCCAACGTAAACGACATAGGTATATACTGTCGTCGGCACATATATTATGCTATATACATCTACGTAGAATACTGCACTTTGGGTAGCGGTGCCAGAGTGTATCGAATCCCGTGGCTTGTATTCATTAATTACAATCCTGTCGTCGAATCACAGAATGCCCGTAATCATCAATTTTAATGCTAACTACAGATTCTTTGATCAGCTTAGAGTTTTTGTTGAGGAGATTAATTATTTTGCAATTGTTTAACATGTATAGCAATAATTAATTATTTAATTATGATATATTTTTATGGCTAAAATGTTTCATATTGATGAACCTTGATAATGGAGTAAGACGTATAACTCGTTGCTATCCTGAGCGAGGTAGCGCGGAATCCTAGAAATATGGTCTCATATATTTGATAAATTACTACAATATCTCACTGCACGCAGTGATTCTGCTTTTCGCAGAAAGTAATGGCGATGCGTATCATATTTTACAAGTAATGCGTGTTTATACGCCCAGCGAATTAATGACGAGCACGCGGGAGTTTTAATTTTCGAGTTTTAATTTCTGCCTCGCGGCAGCGAGAAATATGTCGCATACTTAGACAAAACCGTTTGCGTGAAAAGTCCAGAGGATCTCGTAAAGAGTCACTCCAGCCGGTGGTGTTATAAAACCTGTCTTTGACTCGCCGTGGGATTCAATATCGCTGCGAGAATGATAATACGGCCGTCTTCGCGAATGTGTCTAGCACGTCGTCCTTTACGAGGACTCCCCCCCCGCTCGCGGAAGAATTCCTTGCCGCGCGAGTTTGCCGTTATGACAAACTGATATCTCCCTGCAGCTATTGCGAGGCGGCTACAGCGAGAGTGAAGCGCAGCTCAAGTAGATTCTATCAGTGAAAATCGCATCTACCTGTGTGCGCCGTAGACATTATCGCGCTTCCCTTTTTACGGCGGATGAAGGGTTGGGTCGGCGGCAAGCAGATGAGGTTGGGAGGGGGAGCAGGGTGTATTAAAAACTTTTTTCATAAAATATCTTGCGCCGAGTAAGTGCCACGCTCAGAGAGAGAGGAAAGAGAGACAGAAAGAGCCGCCCTTTGCTGGTCTCGTTCACGTTATTGACGTTCCCCGAATTTAAACGCTTGCTTATTCGATGTTTATACCGCCTGCATTGTTTTGGTCGTTGTACAGAGTACATCGCGGAATGCGTTTTACAGTTCGCAACGTCGGAGCGTAAGTATATCGTTTCTTAAATGTGTTTCTTGTGTGTGATATTAGATATGTGCACTTAGAATTATATTTAAAAAATTGTAATTGTATCTTTAGTCCTTAATTTCGAAGTATTAATCTCTGTTTTATATAATTGATTGAAACTTAAGAAATGGGGAAAATTTAAAGGATAATTTAAGTTGCATAAAATAAATATTAATGATGAATTCTTTGTGATACAATCGTTTACAGACAGAGATCAAACTTTTTTTCATTTGTGGTTAATGAATATCACTCAGCAGTGACCAAACCACCATGCGCGGATCGTAAAAGAAACAAAACATTAGAAAGTTATTTGAAAAATCATCTCGTCCATCGCCAGGATGGCACGCTAAGAGTTAAAGGGTTAAACTGTCTTAGTAAAGGCCTTCACACATAAAATCC